GGCGCTGGCGCGGTGGCCGGGTTGGGGTGGCCGCGCGCCCTCCGGTGCGCCGCCTTGTTTATCTCGCCGCTGCCGGCGCTCGCATCGGATCCCCCTCCCAACTTTGAGCGGTGGTCCGGAGTCGCCTCTCCGGAGGGAGACTCACTGATCGACTAACCTGCGTCCTCCCGGATCCTTTCTGGCTGGGCCGCCAGCCGGGCGCCCCTTGCGCTCCTGCCCACTCCCGTGACGAGCGAGCGAGCGCTGGGCTGCCTGACCCGCGGCGCGACACACCCTCCACCCGGCTGGCTGTCGCCCACCCTCTCGCAAACCGCTTCTGGCTATTACCCTCTCAGTCCCCGTGTTCTCAGCCTGCCTGTTCCTTACCCCAGGTCCTTGTCTTTTCCTGGCGGTGGCACTGTGGACATATGGGGTGCCTGGGTGGGGGCCTGGACCTGGAGTTTGTCGTGTGCAAACAATTTCAAAGGCAGCATTTTCTTCCCTGCTTTGGAGTTCGGGCTCAGTTTCTTGGCGTTAGGGCGGAGTTAGCGATCTCAAGAAGCCCACCTGCCAGGCGAGAGGTGTGCTCTGCCTCCTGTTTTCAGGCGGCTCTCTGGCTTTGGAGGACTTCCACCAGACCTTCCTTCCCATGATGCCAGGCCACCAGGCAGTCATTGCTTTCTCTGCACCCCCTTTGCAGAAAGGTGCAACTAGGCAGTTTCTTCAAAGTGAGTGATCAACAGGTATTGAAGGCTTTCCAACACCCTCCTCGAGGTGTTGTGTAAACAGAAGTTCCTGGTTTGGAGGAAGCTGGAAACATAGCATTACCTTCTACTCCACAGGTCCTTTTGAGGAGCTGCTGTGGTCTCTGGGAGATGCTAAGAGGCATATATGAAATCTAAGGCCTCAGGAAGTCTATCGACTAGGTGAAAGTGATTTGAGAGCTCAAGTTCAAAGTAAAATGGTATGACTGCCTAAGTTAGTTCACGTTATGGAGGCATAAGCAGGTAAAGGAAATGTTACAATTGGGGATAGGACGTGGAGTACTGGTTTTGAAATAAATTTTGCATGTTCCGATTAAGTCAAGTGACAAACCCAGATTCAAGAGAAGGACTACAGTGGAAGCTAGGAAGGCTACAAAAGATATGTGGGGTGACCTCCTCTAGGGTTTAGAATCTCATACAGGACCCAGAAAGACTTGAGCCTGTGAAATAAGACCTCCAGATAGGACACAGTTAACTGTCCAAATTTGAGGTGTAGATATAGATGCTTTGGGGGGTCAGAGAAAGGAGCCATGGGCAGGAACTGCAGCACAATATTCTTGGAAGATGAGATGGGTCACAGAATGGTGTTGAACGTGGCTTTCCGGAGAGACAAGGAGATGGCCTTGGCTACCTTGGAATGTTTCCTGAACAGTAGGAGATAAAGATGGAGAGGAACAATGGTTGAGATTGTGAAAGTCCTAGAAAGCCAGAATGGGGAATTGCACTTTACCCTGTGTGTACTGGGGAGACAGTGAAGTTTTTTTTGGGCCAGAGAGTGATGTAAGGAAACAGCATTTGGAAAGGTTTTTGAAAGTAATATTAGGAGACAGATCAGCTAGTAGGCTGTTGTGCTTGTGGAGTGCACAGGAATTTGGACTGGGTTTAATTGGAAATGGAAAGGAGGGTGAGTTTTAGAAACATTATTGTTGAAATCATCTGTTGTCCAGGGTAGGGCAAAAGGAAGAGATGAATGGAAATTAATTCTTTGTGGAAATTGATTATACGCCAGGGCCTTGGAATTGCTGTAGTTGGTAATTTGAGAAATCGGAAATGTGTGTTGTATGGAGAAGAAATTGACACTCAGCCTGTAGAGAAGTTTCCTGTGTTTGCCACAATATTCAAATGGAGGTGTCCTGCCAGCAACTGAGGCTCTGAGATTGGTGGGAACCCATGGGGGTATAGTTAGGGAGAGGGAGAGGAAAGGCACTCAGAATAAGTGGGGGTTCTTCTTGGCCAGACAGCTGGCTAAGTATGTGAGTTGGACTCAGGTTCTGACTTGGAGGGCTTCTGCTTATCCCTCATGCATTGCAAATCACGTGGCACTGCCTGCTGTTGACCTTGAGGTTGGAGAAGCAACTTTTGATAATTAGTGCTCCTAGGAAAATGGGGTCATTTAGTCTCATAATCATGAGAGTGGAATTGGAGAGAAATTAGAATGGAATTTGCTAAAGGTGTAAATTGTTGGGCTCTGAAGCATGTTGAACTTTGCTTCGTTGGGTTAGTCCCAGTGTCCCATTTGTGCCAGGGGAGGATGGAGCATCTAGATGATCTAAAAAAAAGGGGAGAGAACTTTGGGCCTAGGATATTGCCTTTTATAGGGCTTGGTCCATCCCAACCTGATCCAGTTGCCAGTTCCCCTGATTCTGGTGACCTGCGGCAGAAGGAAGCTAGCTGGTGCCATTTTTCCTGAGCTCTGAATTCTGCTTTCTTGTTGCAAGGGTGATTTAGGGTGATTTGCTGAACAAATTCCCCAAGCCTCAACTTGAAACATCTGAATTTGAAGGATGATTGCAAAAGGTTGCTGAATGAGCTGAGAATGTAATTATAGTTACTTAGCCTCCTTGTTTCTGTGAGATGCAGGATGAGTGAAGTGGCAGAGGAAGAGGACCTAGAAGGGGAACCTAAGGGGGAACAGAACAGATATTTTTTCCCTTTATAGGGAATATCTGAACATCCAAAAACTAATTGCATGGAGCAGTGGTTGAGCTCGCTTACTTACTGTAGAGCAGTGTTTTCTGCCCTGTTTTGACCATGACCTATACTAAGAACTAAAATTTACATTGTGATCTACCACATATGATCATGTATGTAAAAAAAAAAAATCTTAGTTCATGAAGTACTGCCTTTTTTTTTTTTCCTTTGGTTGGGGTAATAATCTTCTCTGACATTTTTACTGCCTATTCTATTTTTTGTTACTAAAAAATGCAATTGTCTCCCACCAAGTTGATCTAACCACTCTCTAATGGAGCATAACCCACCGTTTAAAGAGCCCAGAGAGAATTTTCACATTCAGTAAGTATTTACTAAGCTGCTAGTGTGCAGAGCTGCCCTTCCCAGTGCCGAAGGTAGAAGGAGGCGTAAGAGAGAGATGGAAAGTTCACAGTCTAGTTGGAGAGACGAAGTATACATTAGATTAGGAGCAAGGTAAAACAATTAAATGCCAAAATGAAATATAAGCATGTTAGGATTTAAAGAAGTGGGGAATAATGTGTACTGTGTGGCTTGGAAAACTTCTTTGGAAAAAGGAAGGAAGTCTGGGATGAGCAGTTGGGGTGTCTTCTGGTGCCGCGTGGTGCAGAGGGAGCAAGAGCTTGGGGTTAGGAACGCATACACAGTGCTTGTGTGAGAGCTGAAGACTGTTGTGTGAGCAGAGGGAGAGATGAGGTTGGAAAGGTGGTTTAGGGTCCTAGGTAGTACAGGGTTTGTGAAGGGGTGGCCTGCAGAATGTTTTAAGTATACAGGTATGTTCTAGTTTGGACAACACAGAAGTTTTTTAAACTATTGGGAACAGTCAAGGATTCGTGCAGTCATCTGGAGCTCTGGGGTGGCTGTCCTTCTGGAGAAGACCTTAGGGTTCCCAGTTCTCATGGTCCCAATGCTTTCTGTGGCCTTGGTCCAATTTCTTTCCGTTCTTTGCTGAAGCCTGTAGATATTTGGCTTTGTCACCTGCGTTTTCAAGAGCCTCGAATGTCAAGCCAGCTATCTTTTGGGTTCCGGTGGCCATGGAGTGTTTTGGGAAGAGTGTGACATGGAATCTGAAATATTTATGGGCAAGCAGTTTGTTTTAGGCAAGCCAGTGGCACTTTCTGAGGAGATGCTATTGGGGACATGGAAGTATTTTTACAGTGGTATTTATTTAAATGGTATTTGTTAGAGAGGGCTTTGACCTGTGTTCTCATGGTGGGCAGATCTCCAGTGATGCCAATGTCTCTCAGACTTCCTTGTTTCCCATTTCTGGTTGGTATGGTTAGATGATGGTTCCTGGCTTGTGTCAGAGGATGATGTTGGGGTAATAACTTGGTGAGCTGTGAGTTGTGGCTGTCAATGCCTTATGACATTAGATTCTCAGAAGCTTTGGTTCTGTGAGCCAGTGCTAAAGGAAGAACCAGGAAAAGGGTTGGGCCTTTTCTCTCCTCTTCCTTACTCCCAGTCTCACCCCAGGAGGCAGGCATCCAGGATCCCGAGAGACTCATAATGATCATGGAATAGCTGGCTCAGGCACAGGTATTGATGCAAATGGTTCCAGAAAACTTGGCGTGGTTGGAACCACCTGAAGACCTAGGTTCAGGTCTCTGGTCTAGATCAGTCTGGTGTACTCTAAGGAATCCATAACCTCCCATGATTCAGAGTTCCTCCCAGGTGAGCTACAGAGGGACTGATTAGTAGTCATCCTGCTCTTTATAGGTAGGACAATGTTCAGTTATTTAAAAATATTGCTTTTATAACATTAAAAATTAAAATTGAGGCTGGCGTACATTTTGCTTAAAAATATGTGGCTATAGGCTACAAGGCTAACCAGAAGTCACCTGAATCATATCAAGTAAATCCATCTCCTTTTTGCAGGATGGTTTGGTTACTACCCAGGGGAAGCAGGTGGCAGCTGTAGTATGTTTTGGCTTTAGTGATGCACTGAACAGTTTCCTGAGACACAATTGTCCATATTAAATCAGAAGTGGTAAAGTGGGCTGGATGGTGTTATTAATTTAACTTGACAGTCATATGCAAAAATTGTTAATTATTGGCCCTGAGTCAGCCTGGAACCAGGTCTGAAAGTGCCATAGGGTTCTGTTCTTGGCTTTGATCTGTTCAGCATTTTCCCAGTGTTGTGGATGAAGATACAGAAGCTGTGCTCCTCAGATTTGTTGGTGGCACAGACATGGGAGGGTTTGCTTATTTAACAGATAACTCAAGGTTCAAAATCATTGAGCAAGAGAAGTCCAAATTAAAAAAGGAAAAAAGAAAATGTCAGTAAGGAATAAATGTAAAGTGTGATTTAATTTTAAAATTGTGAACGCTTACTATATCATGTTCATGCATTCTGAGAATTTCTCTTCTGAGGATATAACTGAGACCATATCAAAGATGTAGATGATGTTTTATGCACAGAGATTATTCAGAGTTTGAAATAATAACAACAACAACAAAAAAATCTATAGTGAAAAATTGGAAACAACCTAAACATTCAGCGGTGTGGGTTGGAGATAATGAACAGGTGAATTCTGATGGGTGTGTCTTTATGACAAGTGTTAAGAAGTTACAAAAAATAATATTTAGAAATAGTTTTGAAATAACAGGGAAGAATATTTCTGCTAAAAGTTAATGTACACCAACAATATGATTTCAAATGTTAAAAAATGCATGTAGGAAATGACTGGAAGGAAATAGACTAATATACTAATACCAAAAATATGATACTGGCTGCTTGCTTCTAGGTGGGTCAAGGTGAATGACTTTCTTTTAGTCACTTTTTTCCCCCCCCTGTACTAGGGGTCATCCCAGGGATGCTCTACCATGGCGCTACATCCCCAGCCTTTTTTTTTTTTTTTTTTGAGACACTACATTGCCTAGGCTGGCCTTGAATTTGTGATCCTCCTGCCTCATTCTCCCAAGTTGCTGGACTTATAGGCGTTTATCACCATGCTCAGCTTC